ATAAGTTCATTGCTGTTTGTTCTTGCTGCAAGCTGTGCACCATCTTACGTTAGTGTTAACACTTTTAGCATTGTAAACACAAGTATNTGACATCACTAACATAAGTAATCAAATACATTGTTTGCAAGAATCTCAAAACACAATGATGCCAAATGGCTTTTAAATACAACGGAAACAGTAACCCGGAAATTTAGGCGGTACAGAGCTTGCAACGTTCCCTAGTGTAGAAAACACCATCCATTTATTATTGATCAAGCCACATGTTACTACTACTTAAAACTACTATTTCACAATTAATGTTAAAATTATATACTCTTTAAACCTTTGTAAACTCAAGTAATAAGTAATCAAATACAACGTTTGCAAGAATCTCAAAACACCATGATCACGTTGTGAGCCAGATAGCTAAATACACCGGAAACAGTAACCAGGTAGTATAGGCGGTGTAAAGAGCTTGCAGCGCTCCCTAGTGTAGAGAACACCATCCATTTCGGTCCATTGCGGGCTCCCTTGTTTGTCTATAAAAAGTTTGATTGATTGATATACAACATACATTTGCAGGCCTGTGTGCTCAATTAAGGCTTATAAACCTTTGTAGAGTAGAAGAACAGATAACGCAAAATAGAGAAGGACATCACTAAGAATACATGCAGGGTTACGGCGGGATTCGAACCCGCCACCTCCACGCTTAACAGAGCGTTTGGCGGGCGATACCGCTCTGCCAGGGAGGCCCCTATAAAAAGTTTCTTCGGTACGATTGTTTAGTATATTAAACTTTAATTTCTGCCCGAGTTTGAAAATTATAAGTTAATATTACGGGGAGATGCGTTGCGTCGGAGTCAAAATTTATCTGTTTTTTAGCTATTATTAGTTCTTTCTAAAAGAAAAATAATAATTTTCGTTTCAAGAACACTTTATTCACGTTAAAAAATTGAAAAAGAAAATAAAAAAAATTAAATAAATAATTTTTAAAAATAACCTTTGACCGGCGTGATCGATTTCCGGACCTCTTGGACAACAAATTTCTTTGCTAACTAGCCCGTAGCGCTACTGATCACGACACGCCTTACTCGCTGATGAAACGAATATGAGGCCTAAAGAACTTTCTTGCAGTTTTTCAATGGAACCTACATTGGCACATTGTGGGCTCCCTAATTTGTGTATATAAAATTCCCTTGGTACTATTGTTTAGTATATTGAACTCCTCTTCTGGCCGAGTTTAAAAATTATTAATTACTATTATTCGCTCTTTCCAAAAGAAAAGTAAAATATTGAAAAAGAAAAGAAATAAAAAAAATTAAAGTTTACCTTTGACCGGGAGAATCGTAGGAAAGGAATTTTTTGTAGAAAAATTAGGGGGCCCAAAGTGGGCCAAAATAGATTCCATTGAAAAACTGCAGGAAAGTTCTTCAGTTTTAATATTCTTGTTATCAGCGTGTAATGGTCAGTAGAGCCGCGGGCTACTAAGTAAAGAAATTTGTTGAAAGAGGGGTTCTGAGTTCGATCCCGTTCAAAGTTTTACTTCTTTAATCTTTTTTATTAAATTATTTAATTTCATTTTTTTTATTTCTTTTCTTATATTTTAACGTGAATAAAGTGTTCTACATATAAAACTATTTTTCTTTGGGAAAGAGCGAACAATAGCTAAAAAACGGATAAATTTCGGCTCCGGCACCACGCATACGACTCACTCCGTAACTCCCTTTAATATTAATTTTTATTTTATACTTTATATCCGTCGTTGAATTTTGGGTTTACGACTACTAATGCTCAACTCCGTAACCTTGAGAATTTTTGAACCAATCCAGAAGACAAGGAAACTCCTGGGTCAGTACCCCCAGACGTATTGATTTGTTATGGGAACATGGAGGACTTTGCGACTAAATTATTGCGATTAAATAAACTTTGCGATTAAATACCCTGCACCAATCTCTTTTATAATGATACCATTTGCATCTTCGAGAAATGGGGCGTGTTCTTTCGCGATAAAAGTAGGATAAATGTTAAACTAATCTGGTGTTGGTGTGATTGGATTGGAGCTCAAGGAGAGAAAGTGGACATTGCCGATCTATCTTCCCTCTCTGTTAAAGAAAATCGAAGAATCCGATGGATTAGACTTATTCAGTTACTTTTCTTATAATAAAAATTTATAAACAAAATTATAGGCCGGGATAGCCTGGTCGGTAGGGAAAATCTTATTGCATTCGAAATCCCTCAAAATTCTCAGAAAGCATTTTATTACTTTCCTAAGAGAGCTATTTATTAATTTATTTTTAAGAAAAAAATCCCGCCTACTTTCGTTTTAACCTGAAACGGGGAGTCATGAAATCATTCACGAACTGACCTCACGTTTCCATCTGCCGTTTATTTACAATCGCTATATTGTGAAAGCCAACATATTCTTGCTTTCGTTCGAATTTTCGTATTTAAATTCAACTATTGATAGTCAATAACTATCTGTATAAATAGCTATGCCCTAATGTAGCTGAATTCAAATGTGGGTTTAATATAATGTATTTTTATAATGTTAAATTTCATGATACCCACTGAAATTTCATGATACCCATAGTTGACGAAATTTTCCAGTTCTGAATATTTAAGATTTTTTAGTTAGAATGGTGTTATGTATGGTAGAATGGTGTTATGGATGGTTAGAATGGTGTTATGTATGGTATTACTTATTAAAAAATGCAAAAATATGTTCTTTCGTTTTTATTGTAACCATATCAATGCTAATTTTGAAGTATATTTAAAATTCATTTTAAAGATTTATTTTCGTGTTAAATGAAAGAAATGATGAATCAATTTTTTTTATAGAACAGTTTAAGATTTTAAAATGCAGGAAAGCTAAAGTTATTGATATTTTTTTTATTTATTTCCAGTGTGAATTCAATGCAGGGAATTGTCTTCAGCATAGCAGCAACCTTTTAAAAAACTTGTGATCTCATAAAAATTTTAAACTCATTGTTTCAACAACAAAAAAAAAAATTAAGTTAATTTTTTTTTATATATTTCAATCGATTTCATTAACTGTATTTTAATTGCGCTAATCGATGTTGTTAGAGTATTTGAAATCAAGCATATGCATTTATTTAGTTCTACATTACAGAAACAGGAATTAAATTTTATAAATGCATATGAAATAATTTTAGAAATGGCAAAGTTCCCATTTAATCGAAGAATAAAAATACTGAGAAAAATATCAACATTACTGTCGTTTTTTTTATTATTATTTACTAAATAATAAAGAATGTGCATTAAAATTTCGTATCATCTTGCATAAGTTTATTTTTCATTATTATTCTTAGTCAAACAAAAACGTCTAGCTTTATGATATTCGCTGAAATTATGTGGATAAATTAAATAACATTAAACGAAATTTTATGTATAAGGATTGCGATGATGATGGACAAATATACTTCAATGGACCAGATTCTTTAAAGTCTTGATTCGTTTTCGGCACTACCGAATGCTAACATAAAGTAAAATTAACATTATCCTCAACTCAAACATCCTTACAACCGTCTATTACAAAACGCGTCTCCTTCATAATTACATTGTTACAAAATGTCTATCAAATTTTTTTCCCTCTATGTTACCAGCATCCCTACAACCATATATTACAATACATTTCTCCTTCAATACTCTATTTCTACAAAACATATATCAATTTTTTTCTTCTATGTTACCGTCATCTTTACAACCATCTATTGCAAAACACTACAAAACGTATTTAAATTTTTTTCTTCTATGTTACCATCATCCATACAACCATCTATTGCAAAACATAGTTTTTTTCTTTTTCTTTTATGTTACCAGCATCCCTGAAACCATCTATTACAAAACGCAACAAAACATCTAACAAATTTTTTTATATGTCACCAACCTCCCTATAACTATCTATTACAAAACACTTCTACTTATAATTATATTTCTTCGGAAAAAAAAACCTATCAAATCTTTTTTCTTCTATGTTACCAGCATCCCCACAACCATCTATTACGAAACACTTCCACTTATAATTACATTTCTACAGAAAAAAAAACTATAAAATTTTTTTTCTTCTATGTTGCCAGCACCGGTTGTAAATGATTAATTACTTTTTACATAAATTGTATATCGAAATAAATTCCATTGTTTGGTTTACTAAATAAAAATTTTAAACACTGTATGCAAGTTGGATTATGAAGTTCCATACCTTAAGATACTTAAAAAAATACATTGAATAATGTATAAAATTTATGAAATAAGTTGATTTAATATACTTGTAAATACATTAACATTTCTGTTATTTTACAATGTTCTTCGTTACTTTGCCTTATGTTGTGATTTTCAAGCAAACATACAGTCCCTGGCCAATTTATTACTATACGACTATAAGATTCTACGCACAATAAGATTCTATGTAAAATCTTAATTAGCAGGTGATACTATACAGCTTTATTGTTTTTACGCGACTGAAACCGGTTAGCACTTGTTTATGTTTCTTTCATTAATTGGTTAAGTTCGACGATATATAATATAAATTTGACGATTGGATTAATTAGGCGATGTATTATATAAATTAGAATATTTATTATATCAGGTATTATATTAGTACGTTATAATAATTAGGCCAAACTATTAGGCACACTGTAGTTTTTTAATAATTAGATGTGTTGCACGAATTTATATGCAATACTTCTATATTTAAACATACATGTAGTGGGTTTTTATTCAGGAGATTTCTTGTATACTTCCCATTTGTATTTAATTTTAACATATTGCATTACAATGTTAACCAATTGATAACATAACCTTAAACAAGTGCAAACCGGTTTCAGCAGAGTAAAAACAATAAAGCTGTACATTATCACCTGATAATTAAGATTTTACATAGATTCTCAAAGTGCGTCTAATAATTTGGCCAGGGACTGTATGTTATAAAAACGTACCTGAATTCTACAAAAAAAAAAAAAAAAAAAAAAAAAAAAAAAAAAAAAAAAAAAAAAAAAAAAAANTTAAATTTTTTAAAATTTTATTTTTTTCCCAAAAGTAACCGATTGTGAAATATTTTAAAGGTGGTACTGTAAAAATTCCAGGTTTGCATTATTGAACAATATTTATGTTCGATGATAGTATTTGAGTCATCAGCATTTTCCTTCAGCATGAATTCTGTTCACTATATCCAGAAAGCATTCCTGAAATAAAATAACATATCTGTAAAAAAATATGCAGAAAATGTCAATTAAAACTTACAACTGCGTAACAGAAACTATTTCATTTTGTTTTAATTATTTCTTAAATTTATTATTTTTTTTTGCAATTTTAATAATTTTTAATAACAAGCTAACAACAATAACAATAATTTTTAATAATAATTAAATAACAAGCACATATTACAATTTGAATAGTTGTGTGAATAAGACCAATGCAACTAGTATAGAAAATTTTACTGTCCCCACCCCTCTAAATACCTTCAAACACTTAAAAGTTACTTGTCATAACTTATTATAATACGTTCTAAGAGCAATGATTGTTGTACGTTCAAACTATTAATTAGTAATTCCTTATGATAGCATAGAGAATACAAATTGCGCAGCTTTGTTTAAATGGTAAAGACAAATATATTCGATTTAATTTGCAAATGAAAACACAAAACACATCGATAATATTTATCTGGATGCTATGTATTAAAGGTACAATTTTAGACCATTTTTTTGACAAAGAACATTTCGATAAATATATTTTTTTTTAAAACTGTGATGTATATTTTTCATTTAGTTTATTTTACTGCTATTTTTATGAGTTGTGAACACTTCTGTATAATATTAGTAATTTAAATATATAATATTAGTAAATACATTCTGTTTAGAAATTATGAAACTAAGCTAGTTTCTTTTTTCTTCTTCTTTTTTTTAAACTTGAAATGGTATTTGACAAATTCGACTTTTTGAAAATGTATAAGTATTTTACAAGAGACCAATCATATAGTGGGAAAAAGTTGCAATTTCTATACATGAAATAAAAGTAAAACAGATGTCTTAAAAAATTGTCGTTAAAATAAATGATTTGTTCAATGATTTGGCTAATGGTGTGTCTGAGCATCATTTTATATTTCAAAAAACGTTTTTTTATTTCCATTAATGAAATTTTTTTTGCGTCGTAATGAATGCAATTTTAGGATATTTCAATGACAACAATACTACATACTTAAAAATTTCTAAGCTTAGCCTAAAATGGTTTAATGATACGAATGTTTTAAGTTTCTCCTTGAATATGCTAAGTAACTAGCCCTGATGATGTTTAAAAGTACGAAATTAGGAACAAAAGCTTATTTTATCCGCGTATAATTATCTAATTTTCAACTGATTATGAAAGGATAATTGTTAAATTATGGGAGGTAGTGGCAATCTAACAATGTGGTTTCAACAGATTATTCTTGATTGAAACGAAAGCTTACTGCCCATATATTTTATTATATAACCGTCGTTGAACACCCTACCCAATTTTTGGGTTTACGACTACTAGAGATCAACTCCGTAGCCTGGTAATTTCAAACTAATTCAGAAGACAAGGGATCACCTGGCTAAGGTATTGGCTATGGTATTAGCTTTCGTGGAGGACTTCTTGATGGAATTAATCCGCATTTGCGTTATATGAAGAGGAAAGCCACGAAACATCCTATGGTTAGTCTGAATGCAAGGTGGCTAACTCATGATCCGTCTACAATTGAGAATATTTCACGTTAGCACTGTGGTCGGGGCTAACCGGGTGCGAAATTCATATTGATCAGCCATCGATGGGATTCGAACCCGAGCCGCCTCATTCAGAGGCAAGCGCTCTATTCAATGAGCTACCTCGGCTCTACGGCCCATACATGTAAGTTTTACTAATTGTGTGTTTTGTCTAAAAACTTATTAATACAATGATGAATATCTACATAAATATACAAAGTACTTATTTCTTATTCTCGCAATACTAGTAATACGTATTACTACAATTGGTTAAACGTCACTGAAGCATTAATAGTTTAATGATTTTTTACGTCCTCTGGAAACTGAACAATACCATAAATTTACATAAAAACGCATAAAATTGATATCTTCGTATAAAAAATCTAATGTTCGCATAAAATAGTCTAACATTCTCTAATTGGAGTTTGACTGCGATCACACATCTGAGATAATGTTATTCTTATTACGATATATATAAAACGAGCCTTTCTGATTCTAACATCTCGTATTACGTCGTGTACGTAGGCAATATTTTGTACGTATAAACTCGTTGTTTGCCTGAGGAGGTGCTTTTTCTGTCTGTTGATCATGCAGGGGTTAAGAACTATAATTTGGCTAGCAATTTTTTCAGTAATTGCTCTACAAATAAATTCTAGTCTTATTAATAAATTTATAAGTTCATATCGTGAAAATATTAAGTAATATATAATAAAAACATTAAATAAAATTTTAAAAAATACATATTAAATACTTATTCTATAAATTAATATATATAAGAATATTAAATTATTTAAAATACCAAGTGATACTCACATTCATGTCTGTCATTTTTTTACATGTAACACCATCCATAGGATTAGCACACGTCGACTAAAAATATATAAAATTTTCTTTAGAGAAAAAAATATATTTCATCAAAATATTACAAAAAGATAATTTTTCTACCCTCTTAATTTGCAATCATATTTGTTATCAGTAAAGTTAAAAAAAGTATGATCTAAGTTATAAAATATGCCAGTTTTTGGAATTCTATGGAATACCAAAAACTGTCCAGAAAGGCATGATTCAATTTAACAAACTTTGCTGTTCCAATTTATTATTTTGGTATATTTTAAATAAATGTTTTAACAACTGTCTTTTTTTCTCACCTCATATTATATGTATATATATATATGTATATATCTTGGCCAAAGAATACCTAAAGAGGCCTTTTCATTTCAATTCTAACCTTCAGTAAGGATAGGTTCGAAAAGGGACGAAATATATTGCACCTCCAAAACCCGTTTCACTGTCTCCCCTACATTTTTTGTGGGGGTGCGTGTGTTAAGTAACCCGAAACTAATCACTGTCACAGAAGGGGAATTGCAACCTGCGGGGGTCAACTAGCTTTCAAAAGATATCAGAAGAAACTCACTCTTCATCTTATATTATGCTTTTTCTCTTTCTAAGATAAACTTAAAAAATATTTTTTTTTAACTCTAAAACGACTTTATTTATTTTCAAAATAGTTTTATCATTTTATTTAACATGCACTTTTTCTAATTATATCTTGAATTGTTTATTATTTTGATTTGATTATTTAGAGAACTAATAATAACCAGAGTATTTAAATTTATAAAATTTTACTATGTAGTCATATGAAAGTAATTCATATAAAGTAACTACATTAAAAATAAATTTATATTTTCTCTATAGATCAAATAAAGTTTGTTAATTTTTTTAAAATTGATTTGCTAATTTTTAAAACTTTTTATGTTAAAGTAAAACCTTGAGTTCAAGATTTTATTTTTTTATTACGTATTTAATTTTCTTCTTTCAATTACAATTCAAATACAAATATTTTTCACAATCTTTTTTTAATTTTAATTAATTTTTTTTNTATTTTATATTAAAAGTCTTCAAATTCCATAAATGAGTGAAGAAATCTGGCGATAGGCTTTGAATTGAATTCCAACTGTAATAAATAAGCATAAAAGTAAATTATTTAGATATTTAAGCATTTAATACCTGGTATGATCTAAAATCTATCGACATTTTTAGTCTTAGGGCTTTTTTCAAAGTTCTAAAAAATATCAGTGAACTGATTGATCTGTAACTTTTAGGTATGTGAAAATTATGCAATACTCTCTCTTTTCAGTAAAGATCTATTTACTAAGAGGTTTTGAGGACCCTGTCGTAATTATTATTTTCTTATTTAGTTGCGAGAAGGTTTAGAGGACCATTAAACAGCAATGGAAAAAATACATGTTTGAACACTAGATGCCGTAAAAATAGCAGCCAATACATGAATCTCCGTAACTTTTTCTCAGTATTTACAAATATGTTGCTAAAGTACATGGGATTTAGCAAACCTGAAAAACATGAGAAGAAAGGAAAAATATATAAATAATCCTTAATTTTTTTGTCATTTGCTTCTTAATTTTAGTTTAAAAATTATTCTAGCAAATTTAACGAAAAGTCATAAAGAAAGATCACATTAAAATTTGATTAAAATGTATACAAATTAAGGTGTATTTAAATGAAAAAGCAATACTTTGCGTGGACGACAAAAAAAATCAATCACTTGGAAGTCAAGCTTATTAGGTATCGTAAGAAAGAAAAAAAAATGGAATATCGTCAAAACTCAAAAAGTTTTTCAAAAATAATAAAGCTTTAAAATTTTGAGTTTTATTTTTTTTACTTTTATTTCAAATTTTGCATCAGAAAACAAAGTACACTAAATGTATTTAAATGTAACATATGTTTTCATGCGATGCCTTCTGCTCAAGGTCGTCTCTCATCGTACTAAACTCTGCATATAAGACCCACATCTGCTTATAAGACCAACTCTGCATATAGACCCACATGTGATTGTTCTAAATTTTATAGGAATTTTATGAAATTTTGGATTGATAATCAAGTAAAGAAATTCTATGCTGCTCATTTTAATTTTTAACCTTTTATATGAATCCAAAATATTTTTAATGATAATATTATTATTTAAATTACCAAGCTTAAAAGTTTTTTAACTCCGTATTTAAAAGTCCAACATAGAATTTTTTACAGAACTCTGTTGAACTTACTATGTTGAACTTTTAAATACGAAGTTTAAAAAATTTTGAGCTTAGTAATTTAAATAATAATATTATCATAAAATTTTTTTTTACTTTGTATGAGAGATTAGAAATTAAAATTAGCAATTTCTTTACTTAATTATCAGTCAAAAGTTTCATAAAATTCCTATAAAATTTAGAACAATCACATGCGGGTCTAATACTTACTAAACTAAACCGGGCGCTATTTTCTCTAACTACTTAATTTATTAACAATATTATTAAAAGAGGTTTTTCTAGGATTATCACTGGTATGGGTATCAACCGATTTTGGAATTTATTAAACAAAATAAAATTAACTCGATTGCGACTTTTGATTTCCAGGATCAATAGCATTTCCCTTTCCAAACTAAAAAATGTTCTTTTGAGTTATTACTATGCTTTTAAAAATATCCGTAATTACGATTTTGATTGTTGGAAAATTCGAATTAATTCTTGTCACATAATTATCTTTACAATAAAAAATATATTCTTATTCAAATTGATAGAATGTCACATGGATCTAATTTTTCATCTCAGCTAACTTATTTTTACACTTATATGAAAAAAACTGTACTCTGAATATTAAATTTATTTTTAGATTTATTGATGATTTAACTATTTTTAATTTTCATGATTATACAATTTTATTAAATAATATTCACCCCGAGGAATTAAACTTGCTTTGTAATCATGATGATAACATTATTTTTAATTTTTTGAATTTGGGTATTAAAAAAGAAAAAAATATCTGTTTTGTTGATTTATACGACAAAAGAAATTATTTCAATTTTAATATAAATAAACTTATTACTTGGAATTCTAAAATCATCCATATTTAAATACCACTTTTAATCAAAAGAATAGAATTAAAATAATATGTAGCAATGTTTATTTATCGAAAAGACGAATTCTTTAAAAATTTGATAAAAAACAATGGATACCAACTAAAGTAATTAAATTCGATGTAAATGCATTGAGTTAATTGTATATTATTAATAATTATTTACTAAAAACTTCTTTTCTAATTTATATTTTTACCATGTGCAAATCCAATTCGGGCAAATTCATTGCTAAAAATCTGGGCGATACGGACAAATCATGTTTCTCCCTCTCCCCATCCCCTCTCTCACTTAAATGTTGATTTTCTAAAATCATTAAAATTTTATAATTGAATATCAACCTTATTAATTATAAATTTCTCTTAATTTTTCAGTATAATATTATTACCTTGAGCACATCCATTTTTTTAGCCAATCCTCGGTAATCAACAAATCAAATGAGTTTCAGAACTGCAGTTAGAACGCGCCAAAAAACAAAATCCCTCTATTTACGCTTTTATCTAATTACGCTTACTTTTTTAATACTTCTATATACGCACTTCTGTTTTCATATTTTGTAATCTGGCAATCTTATTACGAATATATTTTAAATCATTCTTGAAAGATTCCGGTACATGTAAGTTTATTTCAATTAGCTACTTTTTTTTACAGATTTCGGTTTTTTGTTATATATATACATTTTATTTTCTGTTTTTCTACGTGATTTTTATTACTTAATGTGTTCTATTCTAGTAATACAGTCAAAAGCCACTTTAAAATCTCCAAAAAAGACGGCATGTCTCAATTCTATATTGCTTCATTTTTTTTTCAAGATTTTGTCTTTGCTATTGAATCTGATGAACTGTCTGATATAATGGGCGATCTTTTGTAAAATATTATTATGATTTTAAACAATATTAACGCCTGCCTGTTGCTTAACTTTCTTTATAAAACAACGAAAACTCTCTTTGAGTTTGAATCTATCTTCGGGCAGTTTGGATTTATGATTCTTACCTTTAATCCCTTTCCAATATAATTAGAAGTAGAAAAATAAATCCTTTAATTAATTATAATTAAAAAGATACTGCTGTAACAGAGAAGCAGAAATTGCCCTTAGGCATATTTGATTGATTTAGGCATATTTTTAAGCGCACTTAATGTTAAGCTTAAAATGATCATCTTTAAGAAAGAATAATGTGTTTTATTTAATGCCAACTCAGAAATATTACTTTTTAAAAATATAAGTGCTGCCACAATTCTTTACAAGAGAAAATTATTTCCCGTAACAGTCCCAAATCAGAGTAATATTTAATTTTGTCACATTTTTAATAAATATTTCAATTTATGTATTTCTTATTATTATATTAATTGTATGCCCAAATAAATCTATAACTTAAGATTTTTCTATGGAAATGTAATGGATACCTATGAAAATTTTTAATAAAAACCAAAATATCAAACACTCTAATTTCTTGTTTCTTCCCGCAATATACATGTACCTTCTTGAAATAGTATTTAAGCATAGAACATAAGTAATTACAAATACTTACTGAGTAATCCCCTACTAAGAGCTGCACAAGTTCAGCAAAAATATCAATCTTAAAAAGAGAAAAATACATTAGATAAATTGCATGTTAACCTCCATATACATATGCAACATAAAAAGCCTCAAGTAATCTTTTTATGTTGCTTCTTTATCTAAATCTTCTTCCTTATTTTTTATTTTAGACAAAACTCTATTTCTCACACTTTCATATTCATATCATATCTTTTAATCTATTGGCTTACAGTTATGCATTAATTAACATTTTATAGTTTTCCCTTTACAAACCGTGAGAAAGACCTTTTTTTCTCTCGACGTTTTTAACAGACCAATTATAATTAAGATTTCCTTTATTCTCTAAAACGAAACATTTTTAAGGATTTATTTTGCTGGATTTTCCCTAATGTTTATTGAAGAGAACTTCGATTTTGTGTCACTTGAATGCTAGCACTTCATGAATATTTCTTAATAAATAATAATTACGTATAGCCTGGTGCCTGAAACCTATTTCAACTCTATGCCTGAAACCCCTGCTTATTTCTAGCTCTCGGCGACGTTCTGATAAGCCGGCAGCGTGAAAATCATTTGCCAGGCATAAATTATTAGACTTTTCTTCTTTTTAAAAAAAGAAGGCAGATTAATAAATAAACATACTTAAAAAAGAAATAAACTTAAAAAATAAATAAATAAAAAAAGTATAAAAACAGCTCTGGCACCGACACTTTGCTGAAGATGGAGCGATTGAGAGGAGATGCCGAGGAAAAGGCTCTGCTGCAGGGAAAGAAAAAAAAGGAAGTCCCGCTACTAAGGGATGAACGTTTTCGATTTTGTTTTCGAATTCTGGTTTTTAATGTGACAGCTTTTCGGCATTTGCAAAAATGAAAAAAAGCAGTAGTTCATATTTATAATTATTACATATTATTCATATTACATATTATATTCTTCAATAAGATTGTGGTACAGATAAATTCAAAATTTATTTGTGCTCTTCGAAAGTGATTTGTGGTAAAAAATATTATATTTATCAGTAAAATCTTGTGGGCAAAATATTTCTAAAAATACTTTTTGTTTTTACTCTAATTATTTTCAAAGTGTATCAGTTTTAATGCAAGGGGATAATTGTTATTGTTGTTAATTTACGTCGCACTACAGCTGCACAATGGGCTATTGGCGACGGTCTGGGAAACATCCCGGAGGATGATCCGAAGACATGCCATCACAATTTTGATCCTCTGCTGAGGGGATGGCACTCTCGCTTCGATAGCCCGACGACCTGCACGCGAAGTTGAGCACTTTACAGTAGCACAGTTTAACGAG